TGGCGCAGGATAGGGCAGGGTTTAGAGCTGTTGTGCATAGGGTCGCTATGAGTCGGAAACGACTCGATGGCACATAACAACAACAACAACAACAAGATACCTGATGGAGCCCCACTGTGAGGCAGAATTGTTTTAAAAGCATGGGATATGGAGATTAGGTTGTAAGAGTGAAGGTCATAACTAAAGCAAAGGGAGAAGTCCTAGCGGCTTAGCAGTGGAAATGATATGCATTTCTGTTTCAAATATAGAACTATAAAATATGGCAGCTGTAAAAAGGATCAGTGGCAGGGTGGGAAGGGCATGTCTAACTCCTGCTTACTCCACAAGGGGGACCTGCCTCCATCACCACCATCCACAACACAAACCTAATTTCCATGAGGTCACTCAGCTACTCACTCCCACATTCCTGAACCTACTTACTGGGTCTGAAATGTGTTGCAGTGATCACACAGACTTTACAGAATCTCGTTTAACTTACAGCTATTGGGTTTATTAGGGAAACAGGTTAAAGTGGGGAAGGCAAAGGATATCACACAATCAAAGTCCAGCTTAGTAAATAGCAGTCTCAAGGCACGTTAACGGTAAGACAGAATCCCTCAATGCATTCAGACAACTTCTCCGTGAACAGCAAGATTGTTGTTGTGTGCCATCAAGTCAGAACTAATTCATAGCTGACTCTCCCGTGGACAATACATCACACTGTAGGAGATACCCTGTGCCCCGTGAAACAACTGTGGATTCAAGCCACATACTTTTGGGTTTGCAGTGCAGCCTCTTACCACTTGTCCACCCGTGCTGCAGTCCCTCATTTAATCCGTGCAGCTTCTCAATCAGCGCAAAATCGCTTTAGCATAGGAACCTCTGGTCCCTGATGCTTGCTTTTAGCCTCCTATCTTCTCTACTTCTCTCCTAGCATGCAGGTCCCCGCATTCTGCCTCTGAATATGACATATTTAGAGGCAAGATAAACCAATCCCTGTGTGCATAGGCTAACATTCCCTTTGAGGAAAAAAGGACTCACCCAGCTGTTGATGATGGAAGCAGCTGCCTGCCGGCAGGGCTCCTGAAGAATATGCACCTAGAGGAGCTAAGGGTGGTGGGTGGAGCCTTAAGGATTCATTTTATTTATTACATTCTCACCTGGCTATGTGATCAGATCTAAGGCAAAGGATAGAAAAGTCATTCTTAAAAATCCTATCACCACAGCAACAGATAGGTTATCGATTGTGAAAAAGAATGGTGTCAAGAACGACATGTAGGGTTTTGACCTAAATAGATGATCTAACGTTGCCTCTACTGAGATAGAACCTTGAAGGAAGACTGGTTCTCGGTAGATAGTTGGAGAATGCAAAACTCTAAAATTTTGCAAAGAACTCTAATGGTGGTGTAGTGGAGTGTTAAAACATTTAACTAAAAAGTTAGCAGTTTCAATCTACCTTTGCTCCAAGGCAAAGAGATGAGGGAGCCTGCTTCCCTAGAGATCTACAGCCTTGGAACCCCTAAGGAGCAATTCTGCTCTGTTCTGTGTGGTTACTGTGAGTTTGACTCAGTTATGGTGATGGTAATGTTTAGATTCCTATTGAAGACTCTCAGGTAAATGCAACCAGTGGTGCTGGAAATATATCCTGAAAGTCGGGGTACGTATCTGACATGTGGACTCGGGCCTAAAAATATACTTTCAGGAATATCAAGTTTTCTAGATATATCATGCTTTAAAAAACCCAAAGTGGGAATAATTTAGGTTGAAAGTTATTAAGATTAGCTAGGGTACCTCTGTAATTGTGTCAAGAAATGTTTAGAAGTCATTTGACAAATTCTAAATTTTTTGTTTTTATTTTTGTAATATAGTACCAAAAAAAATAATAAGACAGGGTTAGAACAATGAAAGGTACATAAACATTATCATATTTATATCACAAAGTGATTAAATGTAAGAAATGTAAGTTATGTCTGGTATCAGTACTTAAAAGTTGTCTGTTTCCCTAACATTTTGTTCTGAAATATCAAAATCACCAAAAGCTAAAAACATATTTAAAATTTAACTTTTCTTCATAATAATAAAATTGTTGCTCTTGTTAAAAAAAAAAAATAAATGTATAAGCATTTATAGAAAACAATAAATGTATAGGCTTCTTTATTACTTCTTTTTTTTAAGGAAAATTTATACTAGGAGTTTTCAATAATTCTTATTCCAATAAATAATCTAAAAATTGTACTGTTTCTTTGTTCATATTAATTTAAATAAAAATAATTTCTGGAAAGAGCAAAAAATAGCATGTTTTAACACTAATTTCATAATGTTGGAAACCATCTGGCATAAATTGTATCTGTTAGATTTTTCTTAAGAAATATGTATACTTAACAAAGTTTTTTTTCCCCTTTGTCTTCACAGCTGAACTAGCATCTTTAATGGATAAAACATATGAGAGAAAGTTGCCAGTTAGTTCTTTGACAATAGCAAGGGTAAGTAAATTTATAGATAGAGAGAGAGATGAAAAGAACAAGCAGACAAAAGGCTCTTTATTTTAAACGGCTATAAAATTAATACCATTCTTAGGAAATGTTTTTCCAGAGTGTGGTATGTCTTTGTAATTACCTCATGGTAAGGTAGCAAATTTCTTTGGTAGAATTAAAATGTAATAAATTTACCAACCTCTGATATCAATATCTCTGTATTTTGTGTCTAATTTTTCCATGATGTAAGATCCTATTCTGTGATACCACAATTTTTTATAAGAATTGATGTATTCGTTCAAGTAATATTATTAAAAATGGAAATGTTTTTGTTAACTGAGGAAGTCTGTAAAGAAGGAATGTTAATGTTAAGCTGCTGCGGAATGATGGAGGGAAGAGGAGAACAATGTTAGGCTAAGAAGATGGAATGGTAATTGATGGTAACCATTCACTCCTATGACAACTCCAGTGGAGGGTGAGCTATGGGTCATTTCTGACTCAGTGGCACGCAACAACATTCCAACTCTGGTGAGCTTTGATACAGTCATCCAAAGGGTGTCACACTGCTAACCCAAAGGCAACACCTCTCAGTTGGAATCCACCAGCAGCTCCTCAGGAGAAACAGTGGCTAATCTCCTCCCATGAAATTTACAGCCTTCAGAAATCCACTGGAGGATCAGCTCTGAGTCAGTTCTGACTCTATGGCCACGAGGAAGAAATGTCAACTCTCAGTGAGATGGTTCAATGCAGTAGTTGCCACAGTGGTCTCAAACATAGCAATAGTTGAAAGGGACAGAGAACCAGCCAGTGTTTTGTTCTGTTGCGTATATGGTCACTGTGACTTGAAACCAACTGAGTGGCACTTGATAGTAACAGTAACATGCCAGCAATATGAGATGGATTGACACAGTGGTGACAGCAATTGATTCAAACATAGCAAAGTTGTGAGGGTTGCTCAGCACTCATTCTGTTGTTCATGAAGTTGCTGTCTGTCGAAGCCAACTCAGTGGGACCTAACAGCAGCAACATGCCAGTTATTATCCTGAATTCATAAGGTATATTGCCTTTGTCGAGTCTCTCAATAGTCATGTATATAAACATTTTTTTGTCTAGATTTTATAAAGTTCAGAATTAATAACTTGTCTAGGTTCATACAGTTTATAAGTAGTAAAGTTGAGAATCAAATCCTGATCTCTGACATCAGAGTTCTCTTCTGATGCCTCCCTCAAATTTTTTCTTCCTCATCTGGTGGCTTAGTGATAAGGAGCTGCACTGCCAACCTGAAGGCACAGGGTTTGAATCCACTAGTAGCTACACTGTAGAAAAATGAGTAGTCTCTTCCCAGGTAGTTTACTGCTTCTGAAAGCCCACTTGCAGGGTCAGGTAGGAGTCTGTTTAACTGAGTGGTATATAACCACAACAACCTTCAGATAAATGTCTTTGTTGTTATTGTTGTTATGTGCCGTCAAGTCATCTGTGACTCATAGCGTCCCTATGTACAATAGCTCTAAACCCTGCTCTATCCTGAGTAAACCTTGTCATCTCTGATACACCCACTCCCATTACGCCACTCACTGAATCAATCCATTTCATCGAGGGTCTTCCTCTCTTGCACTGTCCTTTCACGCTTTCAAGCATGATGGCCCTCTCCAAGGACTGGTCCCTCCTTGCAAAAATTGGCCATTCACTTCTGAAATAACAGGCTTTCGAAAACCCTATGTACAGTATGGCTTTAGCATGAATTTACTTTGCAACATTAGTGGCAGAATATCTCTCAATTTCCTCTTTCTCATTATGGAAACAACTGAATCGTCCTAAGGATGTAATGCTAAAATGAAATCTTGCTTTTGAAACTCTTTTTTAAAATTAATGATACTATTAAAAAAAACCCCTATAATAACAACATCTTCCTTCTCACTTTTCATCTTCTGCCTGTTGGTCTTCCCCCTTTTTTCCTATATTTTTATTGGTTTACATACAACATTCCTATGCATTGTGTTTCACACATGTGTTTTATACAGTCTTCCATTCACATTGTATTTAATTGATGTAAATTGTGTTTTATTCAATTAATTACCATTCATCTATGCTTATTTCCATCTCATCTTTTCAAGTCCCATTGGTTCTTTCTGATTCCTTCACCCATTCTTTAATAGTATGACATTTTAACTAGAATGCAACTTAAATTTTTATAGACTCATACGAATTGGAGGGAGCCTGAAATGTTATTGGTGATCTCTTACATGCCCGACTAAAGCCCTATATATCATAAATATTTAATATTTGTTTAGTTAGAACTTCAGAATATAAAGAACTTTAATTTAAATTATGTCATTCAAGCCTAATAGTCCTCAGAGCAGACACCTTTATCCTGTTTATGGAGATGAAGTCCTGGAATGGCTGTGCCACCAATTTATGCCACCCAGAATACTCTCTGCACAGCTAATTCTCAATCTCTGGTTCCCTTGTTTGAATCTCATTTTGTCTATAATTTAATGGGAAAAGAAAAATATTCTAACTCAAATCCATAAGTCCCTGATTTATTATCTTTCTCTCTTTTGGGGAAGGTTTTGTTTTGTTTTGCTTTAATTTTTTAATTTTATTTTATTTACAACATACATAATATTCTATTTGATCTCTTTTTTTCTATTTTTCCCCCCTTTTTTCAGTCTCTGCTTCAGGGTAAAATCCATCCTTGGGATAGATAGACCATTCTGTTCATTGCTTACTTAGTCTACAGTTACAGAATATACTCAGCAGCTTTATGGGTCAAAGGGAGTCTTTGTTGGGAAAAAATAAATCACAGGTTGACTGGTCTGTAAGCAGAATTTATATCAGTGTAGGAAAAATGATGACAGGATTGAATTCCTGGATGAAATTTGGTTTTCATCTCTTGGGCTATATTTTTTTCAACCATCAGTCTTCATCTTTTCTTTTGTTCCTGTGTATTTGAAGCTTGGAATGCAAAGAAAATATCAGGGATAAAATATAAAAATACTTGTGGCTATAGGGAGTTTTGGTGAGCTGGTGGATAAGAAAGGAGTTATATTGTCAACTCAAATGCAGTCGTTCTAATTCATCAGCTACTCTGAAGGAGAACAGTGAGAAGTCTCTTCTCTTGTGATATAAAGCCTCGGAGATTCAGCTATGAGTTGTTTCTGACTCAGTAAGTTGAACAATAAATATAATGTGAGAATTTTTATTCCTAAATAGTTTTTTGGTTGGTTTTTTTAAAATCACCATGTAAACTAGACTTAAAATATGCCGTAATTTGTTTTCAACCAAGAGTTTGTTTTTCTGTCTTTTAGTTTGTGGACAATATTTCATCTCGAGAAGAGATAGACCACGCAGAGTATTACCTTTACAAGTAAGTTTTGTGTTTCTTTTAGCTATATACTCATACTGTGAATCTTCCTAAACAGTTATCTTCTTATTGTTAATGTTTCAAATGACTAAATATCTAAGTATGAGGGTCATCTAATTCCATTTTTCTCCCCACCCCCACCCCCTTTTCTTTTCCAGTTGTTTCATTTTTTATATATAGATTTAAAAAGAAAAGTTAACTAGAGTGTTTTCTCTAATCAGGGACCAAACCTTGTCTCTGTATTTTTCTTGTGTCTTCAGGATATCTAATATACATGCTACTTTTTCAGAATGACAGGCTTAGGAATTAAGAGCCTGGATTCCCATGGCTTGTCTCTGTTACTCTCTATGTGATGGTAGCAAATTTGTTCTACTTCTTGGTCTCATTTTTAGTATATGAGGAAATATTTCTAAGAATAAGTTGAAAGATTTTTTAACATCTATTGCCAGTGTCAGATGGATCTTAGCAGAAAGCAAAGAGTACCAGAGGAATGTCTGTCAATGTTTCATTGACTATAAAAAGGCATATGACTGTGTGGATCACAACAAATTGTGGCAAACCTTGAGGAGAATGGGAAACTCAGAAGACTTGATTATGCTAATGCAATACCTTTACTCAGAATAGGAAACAGTCCTCACAACAGAGCAAGGAAACACTGCATGGTTCAAAATCAGGAAGGAGTGTGTCGGGGATGCATCCTGTCTCCATACCTTTCAATCTGTATGTAAAACAGATCATTTGGAAGGCTGGACTTTATGAGGAGGAATGTGGCATAATGATTGGAGGAACTCATCAACAACCTACGTTATGCACATGACACAACCTTACTTGCTTAAACTGAGAAGGACCTGAAGCACTTGCTGCAGAAGATCAAGGACTGTAGTCTTCAATATGGACTGAAGCTCAATTATCAGGAAAACAAAGAGTCTCACCACTGGGCCAATTGGTAGCAACATGATAGATGGAGAAGAGTTTGAGGTTGATAACAATTACAGCTTGCTTGGCTCCACAATTAAAACTCTTGGCATCAGTAGTCACGTAATCAAAAGATTAATTGCATTGGGAAAATCTGCTGTCATGGACCTCTCCAGAATACTGAGAAGCAATGATGTCAGTCTGGAGACTAAGGTACTCATGATCCAGGCCATGTTCTTGTTATTTATCAGCGAGCTAGTCAATGACTATGGATGATAGAAGAAGAACTGATGCTTTTGAGTTGTGGTGCTGGAGAAGAGTCTTGAACTTACCGTGGACCACCAAGAAACAAATAGGTCTTGGAGAGAGTGAAACCAAGTTTCTCCTTGGAGGCTAGGATTTTGAAGCTTCGTCTCAAATACTATGGGCAGTGGCCAGAAAGGACTGGTCTTTGGAGAAGGACATCATGCTTGGAAGGGTCGAGAGAGAGGGCAGGAGAGGAAGACCCTAGATGAGATAGATTGATATAGTAACTGGGGCAATGGGGATAAGTGTGTTAGAGTCAGTGAAACTTGCTCCAGATAGAGCAAGGGTCAGAGCTGCTGTACATAGGTCACTATGAGTTGCAGGTGATTCAACAGCACTTAACAACAACAAGAACATCTCTTGCAGTTTTTAACTTTTCAGTGTTGGCATTTTGTTTTTTATAGATTTCTATTAATAGAAAGACTTTTTGCCGTTCATCTTTGATAAACATAATTTACGTTGTCTTGGCCCAGCCACTTCTCCTTTAGCTTAGATTTCATAGGTATAAAATGGTATTTCAGGTATTAAATGTCTATTTTCTTATCAGGAATGTAAAGTTACTATCTTAATGGGAGAGAACTATTAGTTATTAATTAGAACTTTACATACAATGCAAATACAAATTGTTAAATTTTTTCTTAAATATTCCACTTTTGTTACTAAAATTAATGTTGCTAAGTTTTACCAGATTCTGTTAATTTGTTCACACACTTGAACTGCTTATGTATGTTAACAAATATTTTACAATTATACTGAGAGTTCCAATTATGTTTTCTATCGTAAAGTTTTTTTCTAGATTGTATCACCCTTTTGAGTCAAGATTTTTTAAAAAAGATAAAACCTTATGGGAAGATTGAAAAGAGTAGTTAGATGTCTTTGTTCTAACACATTCCCACTATTCTCAAAACACATTAACAATAGATTACTGGCAGAGAGTAAGAAAGGATATAAAATAAATAATTAACTATCTTTCTTTTGCCCTGGAAATTATATTACTTGCTGACGATGATGACAACACTTCCTACCATTACTAGTGAGTGCCATTGTTTAGTTATGAGTGTCTTCAAATGTAGGAAGGTGTTCTGATGATCTAATCCATAGGGAGTTGGTACCTGTAGATAACCTAAAGAAAGTGCCTCTCCAGTGGATTGAATCCACCAGTGGCTGCAAAGGGAAACATGATTCACAGTCCTGGGAACTTACTGAAGGGTCAGTTATGACTCCATGGCAATGAGTTTTTAGTTTAGTTGAATACACAGTTTTTAAGTGGTCCTTGTACTGACTAGAATTCATTTAAATAGATCATTTTTTAAATTCAATCTGTTTCATAAAAGTAGAAAGTAAAAACACAAGGATTTTTAAAACTAGAACTATCATAATATATTATTATTCAGCGATATACTTTTTTTATTTAACATCAAAGTCTAATAAGGTATATTTTCATTTTGCACAGAAAAGTATTTGTAAAATCTATTTCAGTGACAGATTTCTGACAGATTCCAAGTCATGGAAAAGTAAAATAGTAAAGGAAAAGTATTATTGAAAAGAAAATATTTATTCTTTTTTATGCTTTAATTCCCAGTTCCATTTTCCTGAGAAAAATATTCAAAATTTTTCTGATTTTTTTGTTCTTTTAATTTTTACCATGTAACTCTTACCAGCAGACATGGAGCTCTTGATGGAATACATCTATTAAGTCTCTGGTCAACATCTGTTCCTGTCTTACTATTTTAACAAGAAGTATTTTAGTGCATATAAATTAGCTTCTACCTCTTTTCTTTCATCATCTGATTTTGTCATTTTATTTCTTTCAAATTTATAACTAAACAGTATTTAAACTTTAATATTTTCACACCTATAGTTTTTGTTCTAACAAAATTATTTTATATTTAAAAGGTAATACAGCTTCATGGTTTAAAATTTTCAAGCCATAAAAAGAATAGATAATGAGAAGCAAGTTGATTTGTTTGGTTGAGTTTTTTTTTATCATATTATTGGTCGTACATCTTTGCTTTCTGCAGACAACAGTTTCTTGAATCTTCTTCCATATTTCATTTGGACATATGTAGACTTTCATATGTAATCAAATGTGTATTTTTTTAAATTTAAGCTTTTGAATAGGAAATAATACATTTGCATTATTAAAAATAAGATACTCAGCGTGAACATTTCCTTTCCACTACAGCCCCCTAATTGACAGAGTTCTCAGCACTTTCTCTTAGGTAGCCAATGTTGGTTGTTTCTTATTTCACTCCCGAATTTTAACTACAAAAGGTACATAAGGTTCAATACCTTCTTTTTTACATTTACGTCTTGGAGATGTCTCCATCGTGGTTATTGCTGGTTGTTGTTTGTTTTTAAGGACCATGATCTTTTTCTTCAAGTGTATTTCTTTTGGGGATGTGTTTGTTTAAAACCAATGGTGACTAATGGGACCTAGAATAAATAGTGTTTCTTTTGTCATTTTATGGAGATGTGGAGAGTCTTTCTTTGGTGAGCTTGTCTCTCTAGGCCTGGGCTGGCGTTTCTCAAGCCCGTGAGTGCTGCACGCACGCAGACAGACCAGTGTGTGCCCGAGGCAGCTCTACCTCCGTTTTAGGGAGATAAAGCTGCGTGTTGCCAGTAAAATTGTGGCATCAGTAAAAGCCATTATTGTCATGATTATAACAAGCTTTAGCAATTCTACATTAGCGTTTGATTGCGGCACTAATGGAATGTAAACTCAAGCCGTAAAAATTTCTTCTTTCCATGTGGTACCCCCAGCTTCATCAGGATGCTTGCAAATTGCAGTTTTTAAAAGCCTTCAAATCATTTTAGGACTATGGCAGTTTAGAGATGCGTGAAATTAAACTTGCTTCCTTTATTATAAGAATATCAATAATCACAGCTGATCATTTAAGCTGCAACATAATGGTCACTCCTGAAGAATAACTAGTAGACATTGATAATGTTTGTGGCATGCACTGCACATACTAAAAATCTAACCATTTTAAAAAGTAACATTTTGGGTTTTTTAGCGAAAATGTGGAAAATGCTGAGCTCATTGTCATGCAGGAAGAAGAAACTGTTGCAGAGTTCAGTGGGAAAGTCTGTTTTTCTCAGAATACACATCTCGTCGTAGAGAATGGCGTGCCACCTGGTCATGAGGGGATGTCAAGGTTGCGTGGCAGGCTGCCTGCTGCCAGCACATTCATCCACGTTGTACCTTGGCCTCCAGTCTTTCCTCAGTTGCTTAGCTAACCTGGCAGACACCAGGCATCCCTGGTTGGAAACGGATGGCAGGTCAGGAACAGCTGGGGTGAGGCAGATGGCAGCCAGTGTGTCTCCAAGTCTCAGTTGGCAGACAGCCTAAAAAGAGAGTACCAAAATAGCGTCCTTTTTCAATAAGCAAAAATACCCCAATGCTTCCTTGGAAGACGAGAGCGCCACTCCTCAGGCTGCTGCTATAGGAATCTATTTCTGCCTGTAGGGAAGAGGAAGAGGTGGGAATTTATTAGGAGGGAACAGCATGCTTGAATTAAAGCAGTGGTAATTTTACTTGGAGGCCATAGAGATTATGTTTTACAGCAATGAAAAGAAATCTTAAATTTTGCTGTCAGCGTCTTGCCAGATCTCATTATGTTTGAACGTTATTAAGAAAAGACAGCCCAATGGGAGATAAGTGATGCTTAGAGTGTTTTTAGTAACACTCCAATACTTTTAACATTTCCAGAGGCTTTATTTAGTTCTTATTTGCTGATTCCTACAAGATCTGGGAGATAGTATGAGTACTTAATGGACCT